GCCGGCGCTCCGGCCCCCTGGCGGCCAGCAGCGTCCGCCCCAGGAGCGCGTAGCAGGCCGCCATGACGCCGAGCGGCAGCGCGAAGCCCAGGACCACCTGCGCCACGGCGCTCGCCCCCTTCACCGTCTGCGTGAGGCCCTCGGGGAAGATGAGGCGGCAGCGCCGCTGGCCTTCCCGCTGCCCGTCCTGGCTGAACAGAAGAGCAGGCAGTGCCAGGAGCAGTGACAGCAGCCACACGATGACTGAGACCAAGTGTGCTCTGCCCGGCCCCGAGGGCCTAGGTCGGGCTGGGAGGGCCCGCGTAATGGCCAAGTAGCGGTCGGCGCTAATACAGGCCAGGAAGAGGAAGCCTGCGTAGAAGGAGGCCGAGTAGAGGCCCGAGATGGCACGGCAGGTGACACTTCCCAGATTCCAGCCCTGCAGGGCTCCCGCTGCGGCAAAGGGCAGAGTCAGGGCCAGCAGAAGGTCGGCCAGGGCCAGCTGGAGCAGATGGGCCGAGGTGGGTGAGCGGGAGGCACTTCGGGCTGCCAGGTGGGTGGCCAGGACCAAGCCATTGCCAGCCAGACCCAGGGCGGCCACCATCAGGGAGATACTGGATTGGAAGGCTCGACTGAAGGCCTGGACATCCGCCTTGTAGCAGAGCTCTGGCAAGGGCTCCGCTGAGTATGCCTCCTCGTCGTCCCCAGAGTATGGGCCCCAGAAGACCTGCGGAGGCCAGAATGAAAAGAGACCTTATGAGTCCTTCCCTTCCCACTCCCCTCCCCCTCCCACACACGCTTTCTAAGCTGGGGTGTGACCAGATACAAGGGTACACTGGGAGAAGCACAAACTCTTTTCCAAACTCCCCAGCACCCCAACAACAGGCCTTGTCTGCCCTTGCACCCCTCCTGTCTCTGCATCCAGCTTTCTGAGTGACCTTGAGCAAGCCATTTGCTCTTTCTGGATCTCAGCTGCTTAATATGTAATGTCGAGATCAGAAATCCTGACCAGTTCACCTGGCAGGGTTGTTAGAAATAAGGATTGTTTGAAGTAGGAAGATAATGGATGTGAAGCATCTGTGCTCTTCATAGGCCAAGGGTTTGTATTATTAATAAATCTTGGAGCTTCGGTTCCGCTTGCAGCGCCCTCTCCTGGAAGGACTTCCCCATGCAGGCTTTGCCTGAGACCCGGTGGCCGGACTCTAAGCTATGGGTCGTTTCCCTTTTCCCCTCCGGAACCCGCACCTCTACCTCCAGTACAGGTGCACTGAACTACTCGTGACAAGCAGGTCTCAAGAACTGGGGCTCAGGTTTTCCTTTGGCAACTTGGACCACTATGTTCAGCTCACCCTTCCCTGCAGCCCCAGTCCTGTCTCCCAACCCCAGCCTCACATCACCAGACCCATTTATCTGAAGGGGCCCTGATCCCAAATGGCTCTAGGAATCCCGCATAGGTCATAGCATGGCGGAGGCCTGTTGCCAGGTGTGGAATCCCATCCCTTCACCTTACCCTCCCTCTCTGTATCCTCCCTCCACCCACCGCCCCGCCCCCACTCCCACCTGCTCCGCGGGCTCGGTCCCCATCTCTGGCTACACGGGTTTCTGAGGTATAGCCACGGAGGAGAGAAGTTAAACTAGCAGGACAGGAAGGAAGGGGCGGGGAGAGAGGCCCAGAGGGTGGGGGGTATTAGGGTCTGTGGTCCCTCTCTACCTAACTTTCCCATTCAACCCCCTAAAAAAACAATTTCTCTTTACTCTGCCAGTAGAAAGAGAATGAGTTTTTGGAATATCCTCATTTGCTAGCTACCTGTGTGATCGTAAGTTGTTTGTGTTTTTGGGTTTTTTTACCTCTCTGAGCTTCAGGTTTTTCATCTGCAAAGTGGAGTAAGGTAAAAATGCAGAATTCACAGGGTTATGAGGGTGCCTAACAAGGGTGCTTGGAGCATTATTTGCCTTCGGAAAATGTTAGAATCTTTTTAGAGACTCTTCTGCCCATATCCAGCCACCCCCATCACCTTTGAATTTTTCACGAGCTCCCTTCCCCCAGCCCCGCGACCACAGTGCCCGCCAGCCTCAGGTTATTCGGGGTATTTCCCGGCGGCTGGAGGCTCGCTGCCCCCGCCCTTTCGCAGCGAGGCTGAGGCGCGCGCTTGCGCGGGGTCCGGGAGAGCAGCGCGAGCTGGGAGAGGCTGGGGAAGGGGGGAGGTGACAGGAGAGAGGGTGGAAAGGAGGGAGAGAGAACAGCGGAGAGCCCGGAGCGACTGAGAGAGGGGGGCGAGGGGAGAAGGGTTGGGGGAGAAAGGAAAGAGGGGTGGGTTGGTAAGGAGGAGAGACGGCGATCGGCTGAGAACCCCCCAGGAGAGCTGGGCGCCGAAGCTGGAACTGGAGCCCTAGCCGGAACCTGGGCACTGGGAGGCGGCCGCGGACACCCGTGAGCCCTGCGGGATGAGTCTCCGGCTCTTCTGCATCCTGCTCGCCGCGGTCTCAGGAGCCCAGGGCTGGGGCTACTGTGAGTGCGGGGCTCGGAGGCCCGCGGGGTTGGGCCCGGGAGTTCAAAGCCAGCAGGGCGGGTCCCGCACCGCATTGCGGCTGGGTGGTCGCGGGTCCCTCCCCGGCCGGCGCGCGCTCGCTGGCTCGCTCTCATCCTTTCCTGCTTTCCCCCCGCGCTCCGCAATGCAGCTCGGAGGCCGGCGCGCGCGCCCCGTGCTGGGGCTGGGCTCAGAGCCGAGGACAGAGTCGGCCCCGGCTGGGATTTGGCGCTACGGTCCAAGCCAAAGCTGGTGCCTGGGTTTGAGGGCTGGGGATAAGAGCGTTACTGGTGACCCCGGCTAAGATTAAGGTTTTGCCAGGGGCTGGGGTTGGGCTTGGAACTGGCCCAGGGGCTAGGGTTTGGGGTTTGGGGCTTGACTTTGGGGCTGGGATCCAAGCTGGAGTTGGTGCTGGATTGATGCTAAGGTTGGACATGGAGCTGGTGATGGTGCTAGGACCGGCTGGGGTTGGGACCAAGGCCTGGACCTGGGGTTGGTGCAAGTTTGGGGATGCTGATGAGTGGGACTGATGCTCAGTCTGGGGCTGGATTGGTGTCTTGGGCTGACTCAAGTTCTGAAAGATGCTGAGTTTGAGACTGTGTTTTGGGGAGTATTGAGCCTGGTTAGAACCATGGAAGGACCGGCTAGGGAGTTTCTGGCCTAGGGGTTCCCCCAGAAGAAGATAGCCTCCCCTGAGTGTGCTGCTGTTGCTGCAGCCCGAGTTGAGTAGATGGCTTTCAGTTAGGGCTGGGTCTGCCTCTGGGGAACTGAGAAGGACGAGGTCCAGTTGCTCAGTGTACTGGGCCTTTGGGAAGACCTGGGAGAGGCTGACCTGACCAGTATGTCTGTTCCCCCAACCCAGATGGCTGTGATGAGGAGCTGGTTGGGCCCCTGTATGCTCGATCCCTGGGCGCCTCCTCTTACTATGGGCTCTTCACTACACCGCGCTTTGCCCGACTGCACGGTGAGTGCAGCCCCGTGGAGGGGGGAGAGGCTCTGGAGAGCTGGGAGTAAAGGGGGAGCCAGTGGTGACACTCCTGCCCCCTCTATAGGCATAAGCGGATGGTCTCCCCGGATTGGGGACCCGAATCCCTGGCTCCAGATCGACTTAATGAAGAAGCACCGAATCCGGGCGGTGGCCACACAAGGCTCCTTTAATTCTTGGGACTGGGTCACCCGTTACCTTCTGCTCTACGGTGACCGAGTGGACAGTTGGACGCCATTCTACCAACAAGGCCACAATGCGGTACTCCAGCCTCCTGCATGCATACACACTTGGGGAACCTCCTCAGCTTTGCTACCTGGGCTGGGCATTAACTTGTGGGGAAAGGGAGGAGGCGGTGGTGAGTGCACAGGTAAGGAGCAGTGACTTCTGCTCCAGGGACTAAGGTCAGAGGGACTGTAAGCTGACCATGTGCGCAAGACACTCCCAGGTGACAGGGTTTAACAACCTCAGGGAAAAATCTGGGAGAGCTTCTTGAAGGAGGTGACACCTGAGTTGAGCTTTGAGGAATAATAGGATAGTAGGAGAGGACCCTCTAGGGGACATTAACTGTGTTTGCGTAAAGCCTCGAAGGCAGGGGAGATCCAAGGAGCGTTTGCTTTTGCAAAGTCCAGATTGGCTGGCTGTGACAACTGCAGGCTGGGAGGCTGTTGGGAAACAAACCTAAGGTGGGGACTGGTCGCTCCTCTCCTCTGCCCCCTCAGACCTTCTTCGGTAACGTGAACGAGTCGGCCGTGGTGCGCCACGACCTGCACTACCACTTCACCGCGCGCTACGTCCGCATCGTGCCCTTGGCTTGGAACCCGCGCGGCAAGATCGGCCTGAGGCTGGGCCTCTACGGCTGTCCTTACAGTAAGGGCGCGGCGGTCCTGGCGGGGTCCCGGGAGACAAGCAGCCTCCCCGGTCCTCGGCCCACCTTCGGTCGTCGTTCGCGCAGAGTCCGACGTGCTCTATTTCGACGGCGATGATGCCATCTCCTACCGCTTCCCGAGAGGGGTCAGCCGAAGCCTGTGGGACGTGTTCGCCTTCAGCTTCAAGACCGAGGAGAAAGACGGGCTCCTGCTGCACGCTGAGGGCGCCCAGGGCGACTACGTGACACTCGAGCTTAAGGGGGCGCACTTGCTGCTGCACATGAGCCTGGGTGAGCCACGGGGAGGGACTCGTGAGGCGCTGCTGTCGCGACCCTGGCTGCACCTTCTCCCCGAAGCCCTGCCCACTCCCGACGTCCCCTGTTCTGCTTGGACCAACCTGCCTTTTTCATGTAGAATTTGTTGCTAGCAAAACACTGGACTCCGAGTTAGCAGAATTGTAATCCAGTCTCAGCTCGACCATCTGCTACCGGTGTGACCTTGGCACTTCCCCAGTTCCAGTCTCCTCACTGTAAAAACATTACACATACACACACTAAATAGTTATTATTTTTGTATCTAATTAGTTTTTAATAACATCCGCATGATGAGGTAGAAGCAGCTATCATGCCCCAAGTTTTACCGATAGGAAAACAGAGATTCAAAGAGGTTAAATGACTTACCCTCAGTCACATCCTTGCCAGTGACCACTGCTCCATCCCAGACTCCCAGTGGTCCAATCTCTGAATGCCCACCCTCCCTGGCTGCTGCTTCACCTACCGGCTAGGGATCACTGGGGTTCTCCAGGTTCAAGGTCTGACCTAGCCCCATCCCATCCTCAGGCAGCAGCCCCATCCAGCCAAGACCTGGACACACAACGGTGAGCGCTGGTGGGGTCCTCAATGACCAGCACTGGCATTATGTGCGTGTGGACCGATATGGGCGCCAAGCAAACCTCACCCTGGATGGCTATGTGCAGCGTTTCATTCTCAATGGTGATTTCGAGAGACTGAACCTGGACACTGAGGTGAGCAGAGCAGAAGGACTCATTCGGCTGAGTGGGGTACTGGGTGCGTCTGTGGGGGGAAGCATTTCTCTCCACCAAAGGCAAGACCTTGCTTCCCGGTTTCTGATATCCTAGCAGCTCTTGGCAAACTTGGAGCTCACAGAAAGGCCTGGGGTTTTGTCCTTGTTGCTATTAGCATGCCTATTCCTGGATGCCACCACAGAACTACTGAAATGGGGTTTGGAAATCCAGATTTTGGGGGTTGGGCAAGATGAGAAAATTGCCTTGGATTGCCTAACTCTGTGGAGTTGGTAAAGGCCCTCCCTCCATCTGCGTGTAAAGAATCCCAGAAAGTTTTATTGACTTACTCCAGCCAATTTGTGGTGGAGTCAGGACTAGAACCCAAACCTCCAGAAGCCCAGCGAGCTTCCAGCTTTAACACCAATATTGGGGAAATGTGTGTTTCAAGTCTTTTATAAGCTGTAGAGCGGGAGCTCGAGGAAGGTGCTTGCACTCCCGCACCAAGGAATCTCACTCCCCTACCCCGCCCTCAGATGTTCATCGGGGGTCTGGTGGGCGCTGCGCAGAAAAACCTCGCCTATCGGCATAATTTCCGTGGCTGCATGGAAAACGTCATCTTCAACCGAGTCAACATCGCGGACCTGGCTGTGCGGCGCCATTCACGGATCACCTTCGAGGCCAGTGGGCAGGGGATCTGGGAGGATGGGACATCGGAGCCGCTTGGAAAGCAAAGAGGTGGACCGGGAAGAGATCTTGATAATCAGATAAAAAGCCCAGGACCTCCCCCTCCCCAGCCAAATGCTCAAGTGGGGGGCATCACGGAATCACAGGAGGTGCAAAGTCCACCCCTCTACCCAAAGTTAAGCTGCCCTTAGCCGATGGGATCTGGCCTCTGGACATTGGAAGGAACAAGGCGGTCGCCCTGAAGACCGTGTAGATCAGTGATAGTGAGCAAGCTGAAACTTCCCCTACGGCTGGAAGTGTTTCTAGGGGGGTGGGAACAGTCAGGGTTGGAGGTCTCGCCCCCACACCGAGGGAGTGCTGTGACCAAGATCTTAGACCAGTATGAAAATGGAGCTCCTAGCAGAGGCTCAGAGGCAGGGCAGGAGCTTGCGGCTACTGACCGATCCTTCCTTTCGCCCCCAGGGTAAGGTGGCCTTCCGCTGCCTGGACCCGGT